GCAAAACACTGGATAGCCCCCAACCCCCTGCTGGCATTCTGGCTTCATAATTCTTTTAAAATAAATAAATATAATCCCCCTTTTAAACCCTTGGTATTTATGTGGTTTTTGTTATCAAGTCAAATTATTTTACGGGAAAGACAAAGAGCCTAGGGCCTTGTCTTTCTGGCTCTTTTTGGGCTTCTTACAGAGCCCCTAGTCTAAGAGCCACAGGCAAAGAGCCCTTTAGCTCTCTAAGAGCCACAGGCAAAGAGGGCTCGTGCCTCTGGCAAGGTGCTTCCTTAAATAGAGGCCTCCCCCAGCAGAGGTCAGGCAGCAGCTATTCAAATTCAAATTCACCCAGGCACTCAATCACAGGCAAAACAATGCCCCTTCCACTTCCTCTCAATTACAGGCAATCCCAGTCAAACAATGCCCGTTCCTCTCCCACACTCAATCAGCCAGGACTCTGCAAGAACTCTAAGTGCTTCCACACACTGCTAAACACAGTTTTCCCACAAAATATCCTTAGCTGAATTCTCTCAGCTGAAAGCAAGTAAAAGAAACCCACTCACCTCTCTCACAGCTCTCTCTCCTGCTCCTGCTCAGAGCTCAGCTGGTCTCCTCTGCCTCTGGCAAGGTGCTTCCTTAAATAGAGGCCTCCCCCAGCAGAGGTCAGGCAGCAGCTATTCAAATTCAAATTCACCCAGGCACTCAATCACAGGCAAAACAATGCCCCTTCCACTTCCTCTCAATTACAGGCAATCTGTTGGGGACAAAACCATGCTGACTTCCCCGTATCAATAAGTGGTCCTTCAGATGCTTACAGATCGATCCCTTTAAAATCTGCTCTAATATCTTCCCAGCAACAGAAGTCAGACTGACCGGCCTGTAGTTTCCCGGGTCATCCTTCTCCCCTCACTTCCCTCAATCAAGCACTTCCGTCAAGCAGTTCATGCCACAGCAACCTTCCTTGGAAATGTTCCGGCCAAGATTTTTTCAGGGACAACCTTTTTCCTTTGCTCTGTGGTCTATATGTAGTTGCACGTAGGGGTTCTACACCAGTGCATGAGGCAACTCTGGAAAATTTCTAGAGCTTTAGGCAGGGGGTCATTTCCTGCAGGAGCGCACAGGAGCGGAGCTCCGGCAGTAAAGAGCCCAGGGGGCGGGCACATGCAACAAGCCCCACCCCCTGCTCCCAGCAGTCCTCAGTCAGAGCAAGAAGCAGCCAGGTAAGTTGCAGAGCCCCCCCCCCGGCCCAAAACAGTCTAGTGGCACCTTTAAGACCAAGGTTCATTCAGGTACAAGCTCTCCCTCCTCTGCGAGGGCAGATCTGCATGTATCTCCTCCCCCAATAGCTAGCAATCCAAAAGAGTCCAGTGGAGCCTGAGCAGTGGGTGTTGCCTTCTGACACACTTCCGGTGATGTCAGGGGGAGTGGCCTATGCACATAAGTTATGCTAATGAGTCATGCTAATGAGCTCCTGCACCTCTTTTTCTACGAAATGACCCCTGGCTTTAGGCAAGCAATCAGTGTTCAGTAGTTTTGAGGAAGCAGCGACGGCCTCCCCACTTGGTTCTTTTCCGACCATCATATGGCAGAAACCTTTATGATGGATCCTCAGAGAAGGTTTCTGCGCCCTGCTTTTCTCTACCTGAAGGAGTCTCGAAGTGGCTTCCAATCGCCTTCCCTTCTTCTCCCCACAACAGGCACCTTGTGAGGCAGGTGGGGCTGAGAGAGTTCTGAGAGAACCGTGACTGGCCCAAGGTCACCCAGCGGGCTTCAGGGGGAGGGGGGAATCGAACCCGGTCCTCCAGATCAGAGTCCAC